TTTTTCGTCAGGTGTCTGAATACTTTGAAAAAGCTCGCAAGTTGGAAGGCCGTGTTGCTTCTGACCAAGATCTTAAAACATCTGACTTGCTCAGATATTACGTGCGAGACACAGACGCTGCCAAGAACTTGCTCTACCGCAGGGCAAGATGTTTAGCTGATTATGAAAATGCTAACAAAGCCTTGGACAAAGCGAGGGTGAAGGGTAAAGAAATTGCTGCTGTAAGTAATCATGAAATTATTAGATGTAAATAATTTTAAGGTGTGATAACTACCTTCCTCTTATCTTTACTCTTGTTTCCAAATTTTCAGGTTAACAAGCTTACATAAAAATTGAAAAATTATCAGTGTGTACAATTTTTTCCAATATTATGCTACCTGTGGTTGTGAGTTCAGAACTTTCATTTTGCCGTTTGCAGAGTAGCAGGGAGCAGGGATAAGATTGTGGTGAGAGGGCTTGCCTCCCATGGCCATGGCCTGGGTTTGATTCCTGGACTTGGCATCACATGGGGGTTGAATTTGTTGTTGGGTCTTGTCCTTGCCCTGACACCTTTTCTGTAGTTGTCTGGTTTTCCTTCCCCCCCCCACAAAACCCAATATTCCAAATTTAATTGGCCTGGAAACAGGGGACATAAAGAGCCACCTATATTATAATTTGCTATTGATAGCAAACTGGAGGCAATTACAACTAGCATCTTGATTAAAAGCTGTTAGATTTGAGAAATCTTAAGAGGAACATGTGTAAATTTGTCCCCTTCTTGAAATAAGGTATTAATAAGGTATTCTCTTTTTCCTTTCTGTTTCAGGCTGAAACTGCCCAACAAACTGCAAGTGAAAAATTTGAACACATTTCAGAAGTAGCCAAGCAAGGTAACTACTTTCAATCTTGACATACATTTCCTAAAATTATTCTTGCAAAGCAGATGTCAAGGAAAATAAAACTAGGAAAAGGGCCATCTCAGAGAAGTTAAAACAACTAGGATGCCCTTCCTTGTGCACTTGTTTTTGTCGCTTAACCCTCTGATCCCAAAGGGTGACTAGAATATAGTTTATAGTTAGTTACTCATTGTATCACCTGATGTGACCAGTGCAGGTCATGCAGCTTTTTTTCTTTGTCCAATTAAGTACCAGATATAATGGGTTTGTCAACTTGTATTTTCAACTACATGTTTTGCTTTCTCATTAGAACTGACAGACTTCAAGACAAGAAGGGTTCAACAATTCAGAAAGAATATGGTGAGTAGGCATTTAAAATAATGTTTTTATTTCCAATACAATTACACTGGGACTAGGTCTTGTTGATTGAGTGCCAATAGATTTGATCACTTAATCTTCAACTCCCAAGATCTGATCGTTAATTCTCACCTCTATCTGCTTTATATTTTCTTGTAAATTAGTACCAAGAATTTGATGTTAGATCAAGATAACAACTTATACCTGATCAGCTTGAGTATTCTCATTACCTGTTCACTGAATGCAGTATGGATTTTGATGGGAGAAGTTACCATTTAATCACTTCTGAGAGTTAAAGGGTTGATGCATCAATTGAAATACTAACCGTAAGGTAAAAATCAGAAGCTTACTGCGAGCTTATCTTAGTCAGAAAGGTTCTTGGGCTGACCATTGTGGTGGTATGTGGTGGATGGGATATCAATAAACTCTCATGATAAAGTCATGCATGAATTGTACAGTGAATCAAAGTAGAAAGACAGTGGATCAAAGTAGAAAGACAGTCAAATATGACTCCTCTGCTGCCTGTGCTAAAGCTACTCAAGTAACAACGATGCAGTGAGTAAGGATAAAAGTAATTTTAGAGTGAAAAAAGCTTGCTCTACTGTTCACCACTTATCATTTCAAAATTTTCATCCTCATCTAGACTGAACGAGCAGAACTGGAACTCAAACATGCTAAGGTACTTTTAACTGAGTAATTTCAAACTTCTGCAGTCATATAAAGACATTCCTTTTCAGTTGCTGTGTCAGAATTTTGTTTCTAGGGTCACTATTGATAATAAGAATCTCATTATAGAAGAAGAGCAATATTCCATCCACCAAGTTGACAAATTAGTACTTAGGACCAAAGAAAGCAAAGGTGGTGATAAATTTAGACGGGAATTCATTGCCAATTTCCTGTGATTGATAATCAGTTTTTTTGCAGTCCCTGTGGGATTCGCCATTTAAACTGAGTTCCATGGTGAAGCCTTTATTATAACTGCTTCACTCTAGGTACTCACATTTAGGGTTCGTTTCTAGCTTGGCAGGCAATAATGATGAATTGCACTGGGTTATGATAAAGGAATGATTCCCTTTGCATTACTGAATTGCTCTCAGTGTGCCTCTTTTTTTCTTTAGTGAGTGCACCTTTAAAGATTTCCCCTATTTTTCCAACACAGCTAGTTACAGTGACTCTATTAAAAGCTCTGACCTCAGATGATATCAGATCATAACTCTGAGTAAGGAAACAACTGAAACCATCTCTTTTTTTTTTTTTTTTATTCCTCAGGCCCATATGAATCTCCTGAAGACAACATTAGCACAACTAAAGGAATTGTAGTCAAGTGCAGTCCAACGTCGAGATAATTCTAGGAACACTGTGATAATTTCTTTTTGTACTGATATAGATTTGTGTCAAACTTCAATTAGGCTCTTCCTTTCTTTTAGACTGAGAAGTATAGTTTTGAACAAGTAGCAAACGTCCAAGATAAATGTAATTTTAAAAGTTGAGTAATAGTCAATGAATATGTTAAAGTTTCCCTCAGTTTTATTAATTTCCTGTTCATTTCTTGAACTGTTGCAGTTAAGGGCCCTGTCATATAATACAGCGGTCAAACATCGGGCATGCGCGAAGGGATCATTTCTTGCCGCTTCAATTTCCGCACCAATTTCCCGCACAAAATTTTCTAAAGAAAACAAACAGCTGCTTTCTCGAAAATTAAGTGGAAGAAAATTGAAGTGTTCATAGAAATCTGTAAAAGGAATCAAAAGTAGGGAAAAAAAACTCGAGACTTCACGAACACAAAGCTTATTCAAGTTCGGGTATCCTGTTAATTTTACCATTCTTTTTTTTAGCTTTACCAAAAAAGTTACGCTTTTAAAACACCGTGGCTTACTGGCTTGTGTGGTTATTTGTAATTCGTGTGAGAGAACATAGTTTTGACAGCCTGACAGCACGCCGCCTAGTCATTACAACGTTCGCACAGTGCAGACGTGTGACCGCTGTGTTCTCTCATATACACCCTCTCACAAGGCTGGTTAGTGACACAAACTTTGTCCATTTGGGGAATTTTATCCCGGTGGCCGAAAAAAGGGTAATTCTTTCCAACCCATCTTGCCATACTTAGTTCGTCAAGTTGAACCTTTTTTTCCCTTTTGGTTCACGCGCTTTTTAAGGAAAGAGAAATTGAATGACTTGCAGGCTAGGGAGATTTTATCTTAGCTATCAAAACTGCTAGCTGTTGGCTCAAACTAACGAGTTTTATATGCTAGCTAAGCTTGAATTTTCACACGAGAAAGTTTGTGGCGCAGTCACAGGGTGCTAGTCTATCAGACAGCAATTTTTGAAGGCGGTCACTCAGCGCTATCCCATTTATTTAAGGCTGTCATTATAGGACATCAGAAAGGGCTGGAAGGTTATTGCTTGTTTTGGGTTAAACTGACCTACCAGTCACGAATTACCTTTGATTATAAAAAGACAGTGTTGCTTCTACGTGTGTGTTTGTTGTAGATGGCCCTTAAAATACGTCATAGAGGACGACACAACGAGATATCTAGTTTGAAGGAGCCATTGAAATGATTTGTATCCTTGACGGAATTAAGATGGAAACCTTCTATATTTCTTCATCTTTGAGACTGGTCGTGGCGTACACGAAATTATTGGTAAATTAGTGTTTATTAGTAAATGCAGAATTTAGCTCCACTACATCGACCCTTTCTAAATTACTCTTTCTGGTAGCGCCGAAAATTGCTCCCCGGCAACTTTTATTTTAATCGCCAACACCTCCTCTCAGAATGCAATAGTGTCTACTCAGTGTAACACAATGCCCAGGCTATAAGGTTGTGCAACCTCCCCTGTAGAGGTTTCTCAGTCAGTTTTCTTACGTGATCAGCCGCCATCTTGAAAGCTAACGGAGAAACTCCCCAGGACGAGATTGCGCTGTGTGACAGTCTTGGTCACGCAATTCCTGAGGTTTGTTACAGTCCTTGGTACAAACTCTACCGGCATCGATGTGTTACAAGAATCCTTATAAAGTCTTACAAGAGCGTTAATATTTCAGAAAAGGATGCCGAATAAGTCACGAGAGAAATTTAAACCAAAATATCTCTTAGAGACTTAATTATTTTTATATTTTTTTCATGCCGTTCCGTATTAACATTGACAAAGACAACATGAACAAGACAAGATAAACATTCCTTTGTAAACCTTCCAAATCCCTTCTGACCCAGCGGGTCACTGAAGCTATTTACAGACTTAAGCATATTAATTAAATTAACAAGATGTTTGCAAGTACTTTGTGTCTCATTGAACTAAAAATACAGTTAAGGTCACTAGTTTGCCGCTAAAATTTAAAAAATTGCGCCACTAGAGCTTTGCAGACAGAGTGTTCTCTTATTTATAGGCCAATGCAAACATGGTTCATAATTTATTTCCTTTAAGAACTCTCCAAAGTTTAGTTTACCAACGTAAGCACAGTGCGTGATACAATACGTGACGACTTACGGAGTTGTCCTCAAGTGTTTATACAAAGCCCATTGTGTGGCCTTTGTTCTTTCTAGTAGTGTTCATCACTAAAATATTAATCAAAGATACATTTTTAAGAATTATTTTTTCCTTTTAATCGGGGTAACCCTTAGTTTTAGGCCAGCGACTTCTTCGAGCGTCGACGGAACGGGAAACTCTCCGGCGTAAGATTTCGGTGTGTAATTTGCGATTATCATTCTTGACTTACTCAAACGAAGTCTCGCGTTCAAGTGATGCGGGTCGCTGGAATATCGAAGAGACATTTCTCCTACGATGCAGAGCCGTGTCTCCATTTTGGACCCTACAACCATGCAGAGATCACTGGAAGGCACAACAATCACAGCGTCGCCGTTTTCTACATCCAACCGCGCTATGAAACGCGGGAGTAAGAGAACAGATGCTGATATCGATCCTAAATTATCAATGTAGTGAATACCTGTCTTGCTTTGCATCCAGAGATTTTCCCCGAGACTGTCCAGCTTTTGTTCCAAATTTTTTAGCGCCACCTCCTGCAGAACACTCTCTGAGGTGGTCCAAGCTTCTAAATGGCTCGTCAAGATGAAGTTAAGTGAATCAGTGCGGTGACTGTCGTTAACAATCGCTAGCGTGTAGCCAAGTTTTGTACCCGGAATGTTCTTCAATGGCGTGAATAAGACACCCGCTTTACTTTTGGGATCAATTTTGACGAGTAAATCCTTCGTGGCGTCGACCCAAGAGCGCGCTTTAATCACAGGGAAGATTTTGTCGCGGACGCTGGTGAAATCTTCAATTTGTTCGCGGTTAACGTTGAGTGTACTTGATTTTTTGAGCGGTTCTCCGCCGACAGCTCCCTCGCTCTCCGAACCCGTGATAGCCGCTCCATTAGACACCTCTGATTTTTTCACGGAAAATGTAAAAGTCTGATCGGACATCGCCGATTTAGTAACTCTAGCCTCCTGCGAAGACGACACCTTGGTCGTAAACCTCATTCTTAAATCGCGCGCGAGCAAAATCAAACACAACTGGTAAGTAATCTCAAGGGAAATGACAGTAAATCTTGACTCGAGTGCTCTGTTTAAATGCAGATAAAATCGGATATAAACAGCCTATGTCCAAATTCAATGATCCTATTAGATGACGCGATACATTCGCGAGATGATTGGCCGATTGATGCCCTCAGGAATGTTCGTTGGACCTCGCCTTGAGGTTAAAATACCAGAAATAACAACCAATAAAATAGTGGATGTGGTAATATTTCCTTAATTTCTTAATTCCTGTTAATTGGTCAGATCCTTTACAAGCCAAAGGCAATATTTAGATTGCTTGTGTTCTCTCTCGCTAGATCGCTCGGGGGTTCGGGGACAGGATAAAGCAAGTCTGAACGGTAATATTTTTTTTATATGACCTTTACGACCGTGTTTGATTACTCAAATTTGAAGTTTATCTGTTTTTGACAAATAATCATGAAAAACTTGAATGATCATTGTTGATTGACCACGATAAAAGATCAAGGATGCTTATCAAAGGCCATTGCGTTGTTATGGTAAAGAATGGCGACTTTTTTAACAGGAACTGAGTAGAATGTAGAAATCAGAACCCGACAGTGGACGCGGAAGTATAGATGGAAGAATATAAAATATTGTGAAATAAAAACACCGACAGATGTACTGAAAACACGTTGATTAGTCACGAACGAAGGTCAAGGATGTTTTTGAAGGGCCATTGCATTGCTACGGCAACGAACGACCATTTTTACGAGGAACTATATTAAGGGATGGGCAACCGGCGGACACGGAAAATATAGATAAAAATTGCAAACATGGCGAGTAAAAAAAACATTGACAGAAACTCGTTAGAATTAATTGTTTGATGATTTAAAATTACAATTGAAATTGTGCATTGATAATTGCGCAATACAAGTCAATGAATAGTTACTAAAATATTTTCATTTCCTGCAAGGTAACGTTATAGCAAAATGTTTACTCATGTTCAGATATTTAACTGTTTGTCTGTATGTCTACGAGACCAAAGAGCAGTATCTGCTGAACTGCTGCACTCCCACCCCTCCCCTGAATCTACATTAACCCTGACTTTGTGTATGTTTACATTTACGACACGTTTACGTATTTATCACAGTATTTATCCCATTACTGAGTCAATATACGAAATCATTGCCAAATATCAAGCTAATGATGATCAGTGCTGTCGTAACACTAGTTTGAAGTAAACTATGACCTTTTACTCACTAACCTCAATTTACATATCACATTAAGCCAATATACGAAGTCAGTGCCAAGATATCAAGCTAATGATGATCCGTGCATTGTACTTTATTCATCTATTTTGATATTTCTATTTTTTTTTTACCTTTCAAAAGGGCAAACTGAGTAACTTAACTTTCATTTTTTACCATCCACCGTAAGCCGTTCAGCGACCGTCCATCGGCGTTTTACAGTCTCCTCTCCACAACAAGTCAGTATTTCTGACGATGCCGGTATATCGCCCTCTGCCAAATTAGCTTTCCGCTTGGTGTGGTGGGCTTCGACAGAAGACTCTTGCATAATATGTTATGAACTGCCTAAGAGGGGTTTTACCAGAATAAGGTAATTGATAACAACTATTAGCGTTAATCCGTGAGTGATTTGTGACTTAAAACCACTGATATATACGTGGCCACACCAACGTGCTCGGTCTTGAAATTTGAATATATATAACCTCGATCTCGAGCGAACATTGCAGCTGAGGTCATCGTGCTCCCT